TACCCAGTTTACAGTTATAGTGATATACAGAAGTCCTGGAAGTTCCTCCAGGGGGATACTTGACTTTATTCGCACTCAGTCTGCGAATAAGTGTTTAGTTCTAGGGGATTTCAACCTCCGGAAGTCTGTTGGGCCGATCTTTCTTGCAATTCGGCATTAGGAACATTCGGTGCAGACTTCCTTGAACTGACTCTCCAAGTGCCTTTGCACCAGTTCGTTGACTTTCCCACTAGGTATATGGACAACCAAATACCATCTACTTTGGATTTGGTTTTCGCTAAGTCCCTGGACTTCGTGACTGACGTTTCATGCGGTGCACCTCTAGGGTCTAGCGATCACGCATGCATATCCTTTCGATGTGCTCTTTCAAGGCACCAAGAGACCGCTGTTGAATTACTTCCGAATATTTGGCGGGCGGACTTTAGTGCAATGCGAACTAAGGCTTCAGTTCTGAACTGTGAGATCTCGATGGCTGACTCTGTCCAGTTAGCCTGGGATAAATTTAAGGCATACCTTACGGAGGTTTCCACTCCCTATATTCCACTCATGAGGAAAAGAGGGTTAAGGGCACAGCCTCCATGGATAGATACCACAGGCAAGTTCCTACTCAAGAAACGGTCTAGATGCTGGCGAACCTACCAAGCAGCTCCATCAGCCAGTACCTATGATAGTTATCGAGAGAATAGAAATAAATGTAAGCAACATCTCAGAACTGCTCGTCTCCAATACGAGCAGGGTTTAGCGGACTCGGCCGCAGCTAATCCCAAGAAGTTTTTTGCTTACGTTAAAAGACGCAGCGGGGCCAAACTGTCTATACCAGCTTTATTGCGAGCAGACGGGACCCGTGCGCAAACTGACTATGACAAGGCTTGTATACTGAGTGATCAGTATACTGGGGTCTTTGCTCGGGAGACCTCTTTACCACAGGTTGAATTGGTTTCAAGAGTTCCAGAGGATTCTTGCTTAGCTGAATTTAGCATAAAGGAGACTCAGGTCTTCGAGCTACTGCAAGGCATTAATCCCTCTAAAGCTTCCGGTCCTGATTCAATTCATCCGAAGCTGTTGCATGAACTGGCCACTGAGCTGAGTGGTCCGCTCACGTGCGTATTTTCAATATCGCTGGACAGCTGCAGCCTACCTTCGGAATGGAAGGAGGCGATCATCTGTCCGATTTTTAAGGGCGGTGACAGCGCTCTACCCGCGAACTACCGGCCTGTCAGTTTGACAAGCGTAGTAGTCAAGTTGTTCGAGAAGCTGATAAGGGATTCAGTGGAGCACCACCTGAATCGATTCAACCTTCTCAGTGTTGCACAACATGGATTCCGCAAAGGATTTTCATGTCAGACTAATTTACTTGTAGCTCGTGAAAGCTGGGCCGAAGCGGTAGACAGTGGCCACGCTGTAGACGTGCTATTCGTAGATTTTTCGAAAGCTTTTGACACTGTTCCACATCTTCGGCTCTCACTAAAGTTGAGATCTTACGGGATATCTGGTCGCGCCCTTCAATGGGTGTCTGCCTTCCTTGAGGGGAGGGAACAGTGCGTACGGGTGGGGCGTAGCCTTTCGCTCAGGCAAGCTGTCCTTAGTGGCGTTCCGCAGGGCTCGGTATTGGGGCCATTGTTGTTCGCGATCTATGTAAATGACTTGCCGAGAGAGCTAGGGGTGTCATCATTAATGTTTGCTGACGACATTAAGCTCTGGAATATTGTGGATATCCCGGGGGTCCTGAGGCAATTCAGCGTGCCTTGGATAGGCTCTGGGAATGGTCTATCTTATGGTTGATGCCCATAAATAGGGCGAAGTGCTCTGTTCTCCGAATCGGAGCTGCAAATCCTGCCACCCGATATGTTGTCGGCGGTGGTGAACTCCCTGTTGTCACTCAGCAGGTTGATTTAGGAGTCGTACATGCATCAGCACTTCATTCTGGAGACAACTGGAAGAAGGCTGCTTGTCGAGGGTTTCGTATGATGTGGTTTATCCGCCGCTCTTTCGGAATCTTAACGGGCAATTTGTTTGTGAAGCTATTTTCGACATTCGTCCGACCCCACCTGGAATATTGTATTCAGGCTTGTCCACCATGTCTTAACCGAGACAAAATGGACTTGGAGAGGGTGTTACGAGTGGGCACTCGGTTAGTGCAGGGTCTACGGGACAGACGTATCCTGAACGCTTGCTCAGTTTGGGTATGTACTCTATGCACTACCGAAGGATAAGGGGGGACCTGATTCTCACTTATCGTATTTTGACGGGTAAGATTGGCCCGGACTTGTCAGGGCTTTTTAGTCCCGCTACGTTACCTAGTCTCCGCGGTCACCCACTGAAATTGCATAAACCACGGTCTGATAGGATTAGGACGGAAACTCGTCTATCGCGCCGAGTTATAGATCGCTGGAATTCTCTTCCAGATCATGTGGTTAGGGAACCTACAGTTAAGGGTTTTGCGCGCCAGCTCGATGCTCTTGGGTGGCAACAGCAAACCTTTCCTTTTTCCTAGCCGACTCACCTTCACTTTTCAGTTCTTTTTTATTGACTCAAATATCTTAGTATTCCACTTGCTTAGCTCTTACCACTTTCTCTTTTGCCTTCTGCATTTACTTTTTTCTCTTTCTTACTTCACGTAACCGACCCAGCAGGGACTGCTAGGGCAGGATACGTGGGCATTAATTGGTTGGATAGGGTGTGATGCGGTCTTTGTTTTAGGTCCATCAGTATTTCAAAGTTCGCTAACTCCTGGTTCAACGACCCGCCGAAGAAGGAACACTCACGGGATAATCCTATCGTTCCAGTCCCACTTGAACTTGAACTTGACTTTTTTTTCAAATATGCGTGACCTGTGAAAGCAACTCACTACTGTCCGTCACATTTTTCAAGGTGTACCTCATTGAGTCGTAGAACGTGGTTCCGTATGTTAACTTGTGCGCTGTCGGTCACCCCCTTGAATGTAGATGAAACGCACGGGTACGCAGATGTATCCACAACTCTTTGAGGAATAGACTCGTGTGCAATTCCTCGTGACCATTTTTCGGGTACATTCAAAATACCTTCCGATTCCGTTGCCCAATAGGGGTTCTTGAAGAATCCCGCTACTATCAATTTTATAAAATCAAGTCTCTGCAGGCTCTGTGTTTTAACAACAATAACAATAGGTTTATTATCGACGAGGTCAGATACGGTTCAGCGAACTTAATCCAGCGATAGTGTACTGTGTAAATATAATTTGATCTTACAAACACTGTTTTACATGACTAAATGTAATGCCGTTTCCATCGGTTTTCACCAGTATTTTGCCCAACTTGTCAACAGAAGTGAATGCCCAAGACCCGAACGACACTCCGAATAAGACTGTAGTGGACTCGGACCCAAAGAGAAATAAAGATGAATAAATGATGATCAGAAATGACAAGACTCACAGAAGGGTTTCGACGTGGGTTAGAAGTCCAACCACATAAAACTTCTTAGTCTTCTTGCGTCAGCCACTCCGATGGATGACAACCGACGATGGTGGAACCAGTTGAGACGGAACGAGATTTGTAGATGAATATTGCTCGAGGTTAGAACGTAGTGACCGACAATGCCATAAAATCCGTAGCACAAGAACACAGAGAGAACACGTCGTTTTGCCCGCGTGGTTCAAAAAGTGTGTTATTTATCAATCAAAACAAGTATACAAGGTTAATGTACAAGAATTGGCTGTAATAGGAAAGGAATGTACAATGAAAGATAAGTAAATTTACAGGCGCTACAAGACTTTAACCGGGAATCTGTAAATGACGTTTGCCAGGAGTATCCAATAGGGGGAATAATAATGATTAGCAGAGTAGAAACAAACCATCCATGAAAAATTCTGCATAATATTTTATGAGAGTAAGTAGACGTTTGTAGCTGCGTAACTTTATCTAGATATGATCAAAATTACCAACAAAATATTTATCACCTAGTAATACCTTAATTGTTCTTCAATTGCTCACTCAACATTAAAAAATCTGTGATTCACAGTAATGCAGAGCTCACAAATGTGCGATTTCGTTTCCAATAAATAATGGAACGAAAAGTTAAAATATTGATACATAACAATCATTAGAACACTTGCACGATGTACAACTAGTGTAGGGGTTCTTTGCCCGTTATGGACGAGTTCATTCATCTCTTAGTACCATCGAGAAATGGAAAGATGTAGGAGAAGGGAATCAAGGATGAACCTCGTTTGTCTAGCCAGAAGAAAATATAGGTAAATTAAGAAGCCAAAGAAAGCATTACGCAACCTGTAACCCATCATCACTTGGCATACGCTGTATTAGCAAACGATTTTACCCATCTGTAACAGTCTCTTTTGATGCTGTCGGTCCTCCGGGTGCCTAATTATAGTTAGAGCTTTATTTGCACTTTTGTGTAGCTGATACGAACCAACACTAGCGTTTATTACCAATGGTGAACTCCACCGGTTTCAACTGCTTTGACACAAGACAGAATAAGCTTATTTATTTATTTAAGTTAGCATTAATTGTCCTTCCGAGTGTATACATCTGTGCTGTTAACCAATGAGACTTCGCGTTTAGCTTTACGACGTCCACGATACCAGATGCGGTATGTGCATCACTTGTGGTCATTCTAAGGTTAACAATAACACGAATGTGTTGATGACTCTTTCTTACTCACCAGTGTTCTAACATGGCTTGTTTCGCCGTCTCTTCACTAACCCATCTTGACAGTTTAATGCTTTGTACAAAATATCTACGAATGGCACGGTTGAAAGCGGTTTGCGACCGTCACTACAGTTCTTAGCATACTTTGCCGAGGCTTATCGACTACCAATTCAGTTAACTTTGCAAGCTTTACTAATTGCCATTCGCTTGGCAGTGTGACAACTTTTTGATTCCTTCGTATACATCCTATCTTACAAATCATGGCATCCATCCGATTAGACTTACATCCCGTATTCGCTAAATGTTCAGATTCTTGATATCGGATGAGAAGTTTAGTTTAAATATCCAATTTCCTCGCTAGATCTGTGGGTCAACGAAGGAGAGCATTCAACCAGATGCTACGGATGATGACGGTGATGACGTGGAGATGGATGATGACGCATTGCTTGCATACATTGCTTCAATGAACGAAGAGACCCAAGGGTTAGAAATGGAACCTGTGCCGTCCACCTCTAAACAGCCGACACAAGTGGAATCTGAACCCAGCGGCATGCTACTAAATGAACTGCGCACTGAAGTCGCTGAGGTTCGTTTTGTCTTCGTCCTGAATTTTATTTCCGCTTAGAATTTTTCGTTCGTTTTACTCCGCAGTTCCTTAGACCGTCGCCTTATAGGTCATCCGTTTTCATTTTTTGCTGTATTATGCAACATCCGACACCGACTGTCTTACACATGTTTTGTGCGAGTGAACACGAACCGTCCCCTTAGCAAATAAACTCAGTGTGTCGTTTGGTAAAGATAAGTACCTTTTAATTCTAAGCAACCACCATCCGCTGGTGTACTCCTGACACGCTTACTTTCAAGTCCCTGAGCGGTTACGCCCAGACTAGAGCCACAACACCTAATCAAAATAAAGTATTCCCGCATAAACTGCGCAACCGTACAACTGTCCATTAATCCCAAGTACCGAAATGTCGGATGTCATTTGATTATCCAATTATTTCGCTGGTAGCCCCAGTTCAGTATCTCGAAGCGGCTACGTAAAAATAGCCACGGTGTTCCCCCTATACGATGTTCTACACATTGCAAGAAGTACGACAAAGTTCGAATATAGTCGGTAAATGGATGAACATATAAACAGGCTACATTTTTTCGACAACGCTAGATACATTTTGTTTTGTACACCTGGATCTCATAAGACAGACAATTGTTCTACTTGCTCAAAATGATTCCCAAAAACTTTTTGGGGTGATCTACTGGTCCAATTCTTAGGAAGGCAGAGCACTTGACTAAAAATAATTGAAAATATACTCGGACGCTCGACTGAAGTAATACTACTATCTGTGGAACAATCTTATGGAGCGTTGCTTCCATGTAGAGTAGTCCTTCGGAAATTTTTGTCCACAGTTCCACATTCCACCTGCTGGTGTGGTTTAAAAAAATTAAATCATCATTGTATTAGCTCATCATCATTAGAGTCGTTGTTATATGCATACAGAATGGTAATTCCAACCATTCAGCTCTTCCGAGTCAGGCACTTTTGTGTACCGATTAGCTTCACTGCATGATATCGGGTCCGTTGTCACCGAGTGAAAAAATGAAAATACAGAAACAGAACAAAAAGATAATAATAATAATAATAATAATGGCATTTTTCTCTATAGAGTTCGACGGTTTGTCTAATTCAGGTTGCGCAGAAAGGTCTTAGAGAATAAACGCTATTCCAAATACTCATAAACAATTTGGCTGTCAAAGGAATATTCCGAAAGGTTTATCAGTTGCATGTAACCGAAAGCGGAGCAACTGATGGCAAAATTGATTTCACTGACCAATGGGAACTGCTAGGTGCTCCCGAATTATTGCCTCAGCGCAAGTTTAATCCGCCGCCTGTTCACAGAGCATCGCGAGAGTGTTCGCGATAATTCCAGATTAGAACCGGTGGTTCAGGAGCTGCCAAATACCGTCTGGGTATCCTCATACTAATACTTGGTATGTTGCTGGTTGATCAACTAAATACTGACCAATCAGCGCAAAGCTAGTGGTGCGTCCAATCATCTGCTCGGTCCGCTTGCAGCAGTCTAGCCGCTTGTCTCTTCACGTAAATCCGTCTCCTTCCTCTGGTTGAATAATCCAATCATGTCCTTCCCTTTTTCGTGATTAGCAGCATGTGTCGCCGAAACTTCTATACGTTCTACCGTCTTCGTGACCTTACGGTTAGTCGTCGTGTGATTTGTTTAGGCCCACCTCGTTCCCTGGGTGGCCTCAGCTGCACTCAGTTCCCTCTGATTGTCTTCCTTGCAGTATTGACTTCTTAAGTCCATTCTCCGAACTTTGCGGTCAATGAAGCTTTCTCTAATCGCTCGTGGACACCCGGTGTTGATTGAACCCACACTTCCTAATTTGCAGATTCATCGGAAAGCGCTCAAATACCGCGTTCGTATTACCGTTTTTGATCTGTCATCCTTTATCTTAGACTCCTTTACAGTTGCTCATGCGGCGGCGAAACCGGATGTAAAAGTGCAGCCGTCGCAGATCCTACATTATACGACTGGGGCCGATGTTCGATGATGTCATGTTGCAGTTATTCAACAGCAACAGCTACGGGTCCCCACAAGGGTCTCTAGCCTTCGACAAGATCCTCTTATCTTGTTTTCCTGCACACTGTGCTTTTCCCTTTAACTGCCTGTGATGAGAACTAGCTTGTGGATGCAAAACTCACACTTAAATAAATAAATGGATTTGTATATTTATCGACAGACGGTACACGGCCCCATAAGTGGAATGCAACACTTGTGAACTCTGGGCCATTGTTGATCCCTTCCTCCGGTATTCCGTGTCGAGCGAATAGACATCTATGCTTATTGATGATAGATATTTGGTAGTACCCACTAGTAAACACTGCAACAAAGGCCCAATACCTATCTGCTTCATTAGTTGCGGTCTTAGTGATCGAATGGGCCAAGATTCACAACAGTGGGGATCGCAGTCCACAACGAGTATTTAAAAACGACTCCCCTTCCATTATTGTTAACTGCTTCTGTGGTGGTGGCGGTGAGTGGATCGATCTCGAAGTAGTCGCCATAGTGGTCTACTGTGATTAAATAGTCTTTCCCTTTATCATAGAATAGGTACACCAGTACTTTCTGCCATGATAGATCTGGAACCTTCCTTGGCTTGGCAAGCCTCGGCGAACCGGCAGGCTGAAAAACAACACTTGACCTAGTGTTTGACTCGTCATCCATGGCCAGAACATCAGGTCTCGTGCTTTTCTAATGCTGTAGTTAACACTCAAGTAGACCCGATGAGCGTGTTTCACCACATCTTTAGAGGGACGGCGGGCTTTTCTTTGAACATTACACCTCTATACACCTTGAGTTCACCCCTAAAGTTGGAAATTGACGGTTTTTCCCATGGGAGTTTTTCCTTTGTATCTGGACATCCTCTCGAAATTATATGTTGCAACACGGCGCAAGTTGTGTCTGCCTCCGTATGACATCTTATTTCCTTCATGCGATCTGCCGTTACCGGCATATGTTGTGCCAGACTTACTGCCTTGATTTCTTCCTGTTGGTGTTTGATTATCGGAAGCTGAGTTCTCGACAGAGCCTCTACGATGAACATCTGCTTTTCCGCTGTACACACAAGGGCCGTATAAGTAAACGTTGAAAGCTTGGCACAAGGCTACACGAACACAGCCTAGCCATACGTCGCCACGATCAGAACTCCCTGATGTCAGTGCACATGGATGCTGAGAACCATCAATTCGACATAGAGCATGCCAGTATCCTCGGAAGGGCTAAAAACCGGCAAGCAAGTGAGTGCATTGAAGCCTGGCATTCAAAGCAGAACTCGATCAATAAGCACTTGGACATTGAAGTCGCTTACGAGGCACTGCGAAGCAGGCCCCTGAAGCCGCACTGATGATGTTGCCTAGTCAGGCAACGAAACGTCTGCACAATAATCACTCAGCTCGAAGAACCGCTCAAATTCCGCAAACGTTGAATACGCCGAGGGATAACGACCTACTGGCTATTGACATGAGCGGCTCATGTTCAGTATACATGGTAGTTTTCCCCCCAGATATGTAATCGTTGAATCGCTCGATCGCGTAGACAACAGCGATCATCTACTTTTAGATTTGTGCATAATGCAATTCCTCCATTGTGAACGTCCGACTGCAGAAAGCCAAGGGTTTACCATTGTGCATGGGAACGGCACCTAGTCCACTCTCACTGGTGTGGAATTGCACTTTAAAAGGCAGAGGTGGATCGCAGCAGCCGAGTACTGATTCATAGCTGATAGATGCTTATGGTCATAGGAGCGGCCTCCTCTTTTCCCGACTCCAATTTACACCTTTGTGAGTCTGCTTCCGAATCAACGCTATGATCTCAATAAGTCTTGGTAAGAATCGTCCCACAGTGCAACGTGCCATTTAAATGATTAACAGTTTTGAGGTTCTTAGGTTGTGGCATCTCTTCCGCCACCATTATATTTCCGTGATCGATTTTCATTCCTTCGGACATCAGAACGTGCCTACGAAAAATCTAATCTAGCTTTCGGAGCGTAATTATCTCACATCTAAGCCTTATGTTCCTTTGCACGCAGCGCTGTAAAACATGGTGCCGATTGATGTCATGCTCCTGATCGGTGTAGCCATAAATCAGCTACACATGTTACACCGTCTAGACCACGGATGTTCAAAGCCCTGCTCGCGGGCCAAATGCGGCCAGCGTCAACATTTCAACCAGCCCGCAGCCTCATTATGAAATAATACATTCAGGCTTGGACTTTTTTCGTACATGTGTAATTTTTGTTATTATCTTAATGTCAGACTAAATATGGCCCGACATATTTTACCTCACAAAATGTGGCCATCCTTTCAGAAAGTTTGGACACCCCTGGTCCAGACCATCAACAGCATGCAATAGCCGTTTGTTAAAAATTTCACTCGAAACCTTCCAACCAAGCGATAAACGTGGCCATCGAAATTTCCCGGAGGATGTGGCGGATGTCTTTAGGAAACTGGATTATTCTCCACATAATACTTCATTTAACGGTTTTGGATTTATGCACAAACGTTAATCACCGTCCTGTTTCGTTATTCTTGCGACCTTACCAATCAAATCGGTTGCATCGTCGACCTTACCGATTTCACTCGAGGATGGTGAGCTTATCACGTAAAGCAAACTGAACCCTTCTAGCCTGTAGCTCAGTCTTTTCATGCCGAGACTTGCTGATATCATGATTTCGATAAGGAAGCTAACTCATAGAGGAGTAAAGTAGTTAGGGAAAACAGCAGAAAGCCGCGTCTACGACCATTAAGCATCTTATCAGCAACGCGCCTGTACTCGTGCATAAGGATTCATCGCAGCCTCTGGAGGTACATTGTGACAGTAGCCAGGACAGAATGGGTGCTGTTCTGTTACAGAATTTAAAACCTTTAAATTTCCGCAGCTCAACACACACAGTGCTCAATAGGCACTATTCGCAGATTGAGAAGGTGATGCTCGCCGTAGTGTATACTGTGCAGCGTCACAGTGATTATACTTTAGAAGAAAGACCACTGTATATACGGACCATAAACCGCTTGTGTCGATATCCAGTAAACCGCTGCACAACCTCTATCCTTATCTTCAGTGTATGCTTAGGCGGCTTCCGAAGTACAACATGGATATTGTGTACACGCCGGGTGCACAGATGTTCATCGCGGATGCTGTCAAGAATTCATCCGCCGGTACCCGCACGTCATCTGGAAGAGGTCTAAATAGTTAACCTAGTACAGCACTTGGCAGTGACGGAAGATCGTCTAAATGAAATAAAGTACCATACAGAGGAAGATGCGATGTTTCCACCTTTGCAAGAGGTTATCCTAAATGGGTAGCAGCTACCGAAGAAATTAACATTATACTCCAGTTGTAGGGATTAACTCATCGTCTATGACGGTTTGCTATCCAAGGGAAACAGTATTCTAATCACCTCATCTCTCCGAGAAGAAGTGCCGGAACACTTTAATGGCGCTCATATGGATTTTAACTACACCACTGACCGAGCAATAGAATTGATGTTCTGGCCAGAAATGATGTGTCAGTTCAGAGATCATGTATTGAACTGTGAGATGTGCTGTTCACACGAAATTGCAGACGGGGGAATCAAGGATGCTGCGTGAGGTCCATGATCGATCGTGACTGATAGTGGCGGTGGATTAATTTCGTGACAGTCGGAAAAATTGCTGACTGTGGAGTATTATAGTGATTATCTGAAAATCGATTTCCTCACCACTATAACCACAGAATCAGTAATAAACCAGCTCAAGTGTGTCAATTCACGCGGCACGGAATACTGGAGAAGCTGGTCTCCGACAATCGTCCCCAGCTTACTAGTGTTGTGTTGCAGGTATTTGCACCAGCAGACCAGCGCATATCACAGGCAGTGGAATGGAAACAAACCAAGCGACTGTTATCCATGGCTATAGCTACTCGCGAAGAGTTCGGTTTGCTAAACATGTCGCTGTTTACTCTTGCCGAATAAACGCATGTCCGTGTACGACAGCTCTGCAACATGTGATACTGTCCACTGTCTATTTTATTTTGGCTACACATCAGAGAACTGACGAGTAGCCGGGTGCATTGTTCAGAAGCTTTACACGACAATTACTATTCGGTTGCTTGGCTGTTGTTACACTGAGGTTGGCTACCTTGCACATTAAGCATCCCTTCCGCATGATGTAACCAAATTAAGCTAGTATATATTTTTCTTCTTTTGTAGTATGTAACTTATCGTTGTCATCCCTCACCTGATTACCAAAACTTTCACGCCAAATAGTACTGAGTTGAGCTGACCTTATACTCTTTTCCGATCAATTCTCCCATCAGACACAAGCAGCCTTAGCTCCAAGTAAGCATCATGTACTTAACCTCCAAGTTGAACACCCTTGAGTTCGCCACCTCTCCGTATATGTTTTAACACTGTTCTAGTTCCCTGTTGTTCATTTTCCACTGTTGCTGCAATTTGGCACAAGTTTTCCGTACAGAATCATGTAACATGGTTTTGGGTCTCTTCAGATTTATCAGCAAATGCGCCAAATGTGTGTGGAAATACAGGCCATGAGCAATGCTCAGAGTGTTCGCGAAGGTCTTCCAGAAGAATTCGCCGCTTCCGGAAGAGGAAATCGCACCCCCGATGAGTTGGCTATGGTTGAGATGGATTTTAAGTTGAGCTCATTGCGTTCAGTACTAGGCGACTTGAGAGGATTACTCCGAGAGCTGACTGCGGACGGAGTGTCAGAGAGCTTCACCGCTTTTCTCACTCAAGGTCAATCACAAGCCGCAGAAGTGAGTTTTAGGTCCGGTAAGGCTTTCTCCATGGTCTCATGACACAGTTGAAATGCATTCATATTGCAGAACCATAACTTTCAAGTGTTGAAAGAAATTATTCACACCCTTACAACTAGACACACAGTTTCAAGTAACCAATAGTTGATAGAGTGTACTCCTCCCACAGTTACTTAACAGGCTGATGCGCTCATCATTCTCGATAATATCTAGCAGGCTTCCGCACAGTATACTTTTCAATTATCACTCTGCCGAAAGTCTCTTTTGGAATGTATTTCTCTCACGACCCTTACACGGAACAACGGCACATAAATGCAAAGCAAAAATTAAGCATATCTAATTCCTTACTTTACCAGTAGTCCCTAGGTTACTGGTTACCTTATCACATCTGTGAACGGTCAGGATTCATGACCACGAGTTTTGAAGATCATAGGAAAATTTTATGAATAAACCATGGGCAAATTTTGGTTAAGAATTCATACCAAACTCGTCGCTTTCAATCGCTCTTCTGTCTTCCACAGATATCACGTCTTCCATTATTGCCAGACCCAATTTGCCACCGATCCTTGCTGATAACCTTCACAATAAAACTTCATGCTTTTCGTACTCCGTTCCAGCCATAATTATTGCATTCTTCACACAACTTGGCTGCTGTACTTTGTCCGCCACTCCACTGCAACTCAAACGAAACGACCACTTTCAATTATGTACCATTGTAAAAATAATTCTCACTGGCTGGTTGTGAGGGTATTTATCTATGAGCAGTAACTCGCACCAGCTTGTGTCGACATTAGAGGCAATGAGCCCACGGGATCAATGACACCGTATGGTAAAATTCGGTCCTTCAGGGACAATCGGTTTATTCAACAAGGACAAATCAGCACAAATATCTACACATTCGACCCATGGAAAGCCTCGCTATATGTTATAGATCAAACTTCAAAACAAAGGCATTTATGGGTCGGTGAGGTTCCTCCCTGAATTCAGGTAAACAAAGAATGATTTTCGAGCGTCAGCCATTCAACGGAATCGCATAGACCGACATCTATACCGTTAGTCTTATCTTCCCCTATGTATCTCCTTCGTTCCTCGAGTCCATCTGATCACTCCGACTGGACGCTTCCATGCAATCCTATCCCTTTTATGTTCTTCCACCGTTGCTAATGACTGACTCGGTGCATTGTTTCGCTCCGTTTAATCTACGTTGCATCTCACGCTTTGATCGCGTCTCCACACGCAATTGGGTGCCCTGCACAGGATCAACTTGTCCTCGCAGGTACCTTAAATGTAAAAAGGGCGCTGTACGCATAGTTCGGTCAGAGTGAAGGTTTATGGTAAACAGTCGCTGCCTTTCAATATCTCCAGCGATGTGAGACAAGGTTGCCCGCTGTCAGCATTTCTCTTTAACTTCGCCATGACTAAGTCATGAAAACGACGTTCTCCCGACATGAGCTGAAAAGTGTGGAACTGCTTCCTGGTGAGTGAGTTCTTGACTTGGATTATGCGGACGACATTGCTGTAAATTTTGACAGTGTCCAAACCTACAAGCGCCACTGGGCAGCTTAGCACCGGCTTTCAGTCGTTTCCTCCTATGCTTTGCACCGTGGAAAAACAAAGCGCTTTTCCAAGATCGGCAGGGACCCACCTCTGCACTTACCCTTGGTGGTGATCAGCTAGAAGTCATCCAGAAACTCAGATGTCTCGAAAGCTATATTAGCGCCGTTGGAACATAAGAAGACGTCACGAAACGTATAGCGAAAGCCGAGATGTTTTTGCGCATCCCCGCCATCTGTGGCGCCCGCGTGACATCATTCTCGCCCTGGAGGGCAGAGTTTACAACGCAGCCCTCTGTTTAACCCTCCTGCATGGATGCGATACGTGGCCCATCAAGTCGACACACATAAAGTGGTTAGCTACGTTCAACCATCGCTGCCTTCGCAAATTAACTGATGTCTACTGGAAACACCGCATATGTAATGAGCGTATTCGGCGTCGTGTGTTTGGTGCAGGAAGAACGAGTGAATCGTTCAGCACCGTTATATCACCCACCAGGCTCCAATGGCTGGGCCACATGTTGTGCATGCCAGCCCACCAACTTCCGCGTCGTGCGTTGTTTCCGTGACCGGTGTATGGATAGAAGAGGAAGGAAGGCCAAGCGATGACTTGGTCTATAGGTGTAAAGACCCTCACTTCGAACTTGGCGTTAGTTGGTGTCTCCCGACTGCCTGGCTGTGGCCTGAATGATGATGAACACATTCAAAGGAACAGTGAAACAATGGTTTATTACGGGTAAAAAGCATCGCTTAACAAGTCCCGTGGGATGGAAATTATTGCGAAAATCAATTGCATAATAAAGTGAAAAGCGTTGTGGTGGACTCACCATAGACTTATGTGGAATAGCGGAGATGTTCGCGTATTAAACGTATAAATCCATCAATCCATTGGTTAGGCGTTTGGCAAGACACCGTTTGATTGCGTTTTGTAGCCCCTGGCTAACAAGTCATAAAATGAAATGTAAGTGAGACAATGCATTGTCAACACGTCTTTTAAATATCGCCAGATTGGGAGCAGAGACGACATAATTAGGGAGAGCGTTCCAAGGCTGGCACACGCGGAGAGAAAAGAAATTTCTACGGCATTCAAGCCGGCTATAATGAATTGTCAGTTTCAGAGGGTGACCTCTTAGTTTAGTGTTGTGGTTCAATTCCAGCAGCGGACGGCAAATGTGGTTTGGGTTCTTCAGAATCTGGTAAACCATTATGAGATCCCCCCGCAAAAGCCGATATCGACTGCTGTACATTCTTAGAGATTTCAGTCTAAGCTGATAGGGCAGATGAAAGAGGCCCCTGACGTTCTTGGTTGCCCGTCGTTGAGGAGTCTCGAGAGCAACGAGATCCTGTTTCTGCCACGGCTGCCACGCCTGAATAGCATATTCCACGTGAGGTCGCACGTAGGCGTTAAGCATTTGGGGAAATATTGATGGTTCAAACCGACCGAAGGCTCTGCGAAGAAGGCCGAAGTGTTGATTTCCGGTTCTCGTCGCCTTCTCTGCTTGTTTTGAACACCCGAGATCTTCCTGTACCAATACACCCAGGTCACGCTCCTGAGAAACCTTCGCCAAGGTGTGGTCTCCAATCTTGTAAGCGCTCACTGGCTGGTGACGCAGATGCATCACTTTGCACTTAGCCATGTTCAATTGAAGCTTGTTCCTCTTTGACCATTCGTAAATGCAATCTAGGTCATGTTGGAGCAGATCCTGATCTGCCTTGTTACTAATCGCCCGCCATATCTTGACGTCATCGGCGAAAAGCAGGAAGTTTGAGGAGATGACTCTTGCCAGGTCGTTGATAAACACCAGGAATAAACGCGGTCCCAGCACTGAGCCTTGTGGGACACCACATTCCACCTCAATTGGGTTAGAAAGTGATCCCCTAACACGTACTTGAAGCTTTCGTTGGTAAAGGAAGTTGCCAATCCAACCAAGTACAGGATCTCCGATTCCGTAACTTTGTAGTCTTTGAAGTAGGATGCGGTGATCAAGGCGGTCGAAAGCTTTGGAGAAGTCCAGATAGATGACGTCGACTCCGACCCCATCATCGGCCACTTCCGTCCAACTACCTCGTGCAATAAGTAGGTTGGTGGTGCATGACCGGTGTTGACGGAAGCCATGCTGTTCCGGTACCAAAATGTTGCATTTTTCCAGGTAGTCCATTAAAGCCTCAGCGACGACTGCTTCCATCACCTTCGCGAGCACAGGGAGGAGAGTCACTGGACGATAGTTTGCAGGATCGGAACGGCTACCGCCTTTAAAAATAGGGGTTATAATGCCACACTTCCACATAGTGGGGACTTGTTGTTCATCAAAGCACCTTTGAAAGAACTGTGACAGTGGTTCAGCTAGCTTGGTGGCCGTAGCCTTCAGTGCCTTCGGGCGGATGTTGTCTGCTCCTGGAGAACTATGCTCACGCAGTGAGAGTAACTTCCTTAGCACAATTGATGGGTTGAAAATAACATTTGTAAACAAAGGTGTCGGTAATGTGCTTGATATTATGGGACAGGTAGATGTTGCGAGTTCAAAAATTGGGGCGTATTGCAGCCGCAGGGCATTAGCTGCTTCTTCGGCGCTTTGTACTCTACCGCCTGTCGTGAATAGTGGGGGTATTCCATGCTTCACTTTACGAAGCTTATTGACATGCTTATATAGCAGTTTGTTGTTTGCCATGAACTTTTTGGCTAGGCACTGTTGATAAGTTACTTTGTCCTCACGGACAAGTGCAGTGCAATGGTTGCGATGGGCCAGGAAATTTCCCCAAGTCTCTGAGTCGGGGTTAATCTTGTAGGCACGCCATGCTGCATCCCTTATCGCCAGGCATTTGCGAGTCCTACTCCTTATAATTGAAGGCATTTTCGCGGGACGAAGGGGTTTGGTCTCTGATGCTTTGTTGACGATGTCGCTGAGTCTATTAACGAACTCTGCCCAAACGTTGTCAAGGGGACTTTTGTTTGAGAATTCCCAAGCAGCTGCGTCGGCGAGTTCTTTCAATACGTGGTAGCGTGTGATTGTATGAGTTAGTTCCGAGTGTTCAGATGGATACTCTGCATAACACACATAGTCAAAAGTTATTACTACATGGTCACTGAGACCTAATGGACTATCCATCAATAACTTGTCAATCATGAGCTCTTCATTTGTGAGCACAAGGTCCAATATGGACGGTTTGTTTGCTGTCCTGAATCTAGTGGGCGTGGTGACATGATTGTACAAAGGAATATTAGCGATCAGTTCATGCAAGTCTGCTTTGAACTGCTCACTGGGCGATGCCGAAACCTCCAGATTGTGTAGATTGAAGTCCCCGGAGATGAGAATGTGGCTGTACCTAGTGCGTGTTACTCTGTTTAGGCCACGGATCAAGCAGGAATCCATTTCCAGAGTGGACGTTGGGGGGCGGTAAACGATAGCTATGAGACATGTGTCGTTGTGTCTCAGTCGGAGACGGCAC